CACGTCCTCCCAAATGATCCCATACACCACTCGCTGGCGCGGCCCCTTTCCCCCCCCCACTCTCGGTTCATCTCAACCCAAACCTCCCGATGAGCTGGACTGCGTAGCAGCTCATTGGGAGGAAACCCTCCCGATGAGCTATGTACCAGCTCATTGGGAGGAAACCCTCCTGATGAGCTATGTACCAGCTCATTGGGAGGAAACCCTCCCGATGAGCTATGTACCAGCTCATCGAGAAGGTTTCCTCCCAATGAGCTGGACTATGTACTAGCTCATCGGGAGGAAACCCTCCCGATGAGCTGCTCTTCAGCCTAGTTCATCGGGAGGGTTTCCTCCCAATGAACTGGTTTCAAATCCAGCCCATTGGGAGTAAACCCTCCTGATGGGCTGGATTTAAAATGTTACATAGTAAGAAGATAGGATTATGTTTTGCTCACGTAATCATACCCGCTAGTCAAGAACCCAGAATATTGTTCTTGATGGGCGGGTTCTTTTGCCCTCCCTTCCTGGAGGGGCGGGTTCTTCTGCCCGCCCCTTGGAAGCCTGTTTTCTTGGAAAAACAGGATTCCAAGGGGCGTGCAATCAAACCCGCCCCTCCAGGAGGGGCGGGTTCAATCACACGCCCCTTTTGGAGGGACGTGGGCGTGGGCGTGCGGGGAGGGGGAGGGAGTGTGTTTATCAACGCCCAGTTCCTTGGCTTGCAGCGCAAGCACCTCCGGAGGTACTTATGCCTTACAGGTGATTTTGGCCTGAGGAGAAAGCAAATTTTTGTTGACCTTTTGTTCCAATGTTGCTACAGATCATAATTTTTTGTGAAATTTCTTTGTACAGTGGGTGGACCTTTGTTTTTGGCTGCTTGTTTTGGATCCCAGAGCTTCAAAGCACCAGATTAAAGTCATGAGATTTGGTCAAGTGGTGCAGAATAGGTCCCAAAAAATGAATATGAGAAAATAAAAACAAAAAATAAAGTTTCAAAATTTGTGAAAAATAAAAAATAAAATTGATTTTTTTCAAAAGCTTTGATATTCATTTTGGGGGAGTGGGAGTGCTGAGAGAAAGGCAGATTGGCATATTATAAGAATGATTATAAATGAAAATTTTGGAAAAATTGGTTTCCAGATGGCTTCAAACAGCTGTTGAGTGAGGCATTCACCAGCCCACATTCCAGTAAAGCACTAGAATTTACTTTTTTGACTCCAATCTGGACAACCAACCTGGCTCAACCTTTTTTGGTTCCAATTTTTTCATTTATAATCATTCTGGCCATGTTCCACTCTTTGTTTCTCTCAGCACTCCCACTCCCCCAAAATGAATAACAAAGCTTTTGGAAAAAAAAAATATTTTTTATTTCTCACAAAATTTAAAACTTTGTTTTTTGTCTTTATTTTTTCATATTCATTTTCTGGGACCTATTCTGCACCACTTCACCAAGTCTTGTGACTCAAAGTTTGTGCTTTGAAGCTATAGAATCCAAAACAGGCAGCCGAAAATAACGGTCCACCCACTGTACATTCACCTTTAGAATCACAAGAAGCCGGACTACGTTTGCATTTTTGTTTGATCCCTTACCTCCCTCCCAACCCTTGCAACTGCAAGATTTAAGCAAAATAGGAGCAAGGTGAGGGTACAGATTTAGCTAGACTTTATGACTTAATGACCAGGTGTTGATTTCAGCAATCCTTCCTTTTCAGTGCATGATTTTGAGGCAAGGGAGTAGGCCTATGAGGGCTAATTTTCAACCAAAATTAGGCAAGATTCAGAGGATTGAGAAAATCCAATCCAGATGGGGGGGATTTTGATGGTTCCAAAGTTATGAAAAAGTTCATCAGAATTGGCAAATTTGACTTCCCTCTCAGCCCAAGATCACCAATACCACATAAGTCCCTCCTGCAGAGGTGCTTGCACTGCAAGCCGAGGGACTCAGTTATGTTTGGGTAACTAGGCTGCATCTTGTCACCACACATACAGCTATTGTAGGAATGTTTGCGCTGATCCCAAACTTTTTTTTTCTCATGCAACTTTTTTTTTCCTCCAATCCTCAAAGCCCCAAGCCCATCGGGTAAATTTGCAGGAGATTACCTCCCAATTCTCATGACCAACGTGACCCAAAAAAAAATGTGGGAATTTGGCTGTGTTGAATTTATGAACTGATGACAAGAGGAATTGAGATTTTTGAGAAGAGGGCACAAAAAGGTTAAAGACCTTTTTGGGAATGGTTCACGGAAAAAGAATGAAAGAACCGATGAATTTTATTTCTTGTAGCTAGCCTGTTTTACATAGACTAAATACAAAAGGTTAAAAATGTGGTTGAGAGAAATTGAATAAAAGATGATTTTGAATAAAAACTGAGAGAAGGAAAAATATGAGTTCATGGAAGAAATAACCAGACAAGTCTTCTCAGTCTCTTTTAGACAAGCTAGTAATATTAATCATGACAAAACATACTCTCCATCACAAATGAATAGAGTCGTTAATTCTAGACAATCAGATTTTAATGAATCAAATAATTGTTGGAATTCAATTCCTAAGTCTAGCCCTCACAAGAGGAGAGCCTCGGGTAAGTTATACTCAAATGTATAAACTTCCCAGAAAAGATAATCGTACTGATCAGGAACGTTTGATCATGTACAGAGATAAGCTGTTCAAAGGATGAACGTGCAACTGCCAAGCTTAAAGCTTGTGATTCAGATGATGTCATAACTTTGAATGATGAGGATCATCGATCATCGAACTCCAAGTGAGTATCAAGGATCATGATCACAGTAAAGAGAAGAGATGATCGTTGACGACTCAATCTTCTTCTTTACCAAAAACCATCATCCTCAGTTTGCATCAAATCTCATTGAAACATACTCCACTTATCAATCGTATATCTCCACCTAAGACTAGTGAGTAGGAGCCTTTCCTTAAATAAGGAAAGAGAACAATAAGCGATAAAACATTTATTAATGTTTTCTATCTCATTTAATATTCAGAAGCATCAAACGAAAGCCGACTCTCGCATTAAGATTATCTTTACCAGATCTATTGATCTAATTATCGTAAAGTAATTCTTTGATTAAAAACAATTAAATTAAAAAGAAAGAAATAATAAATTGAATAAAAAACTAATCAAGTTTGTCTTTTGATCATCAGCTTATTACCGCTATCATTTGATAAACTATTACCTTTTTATTCTTAAAGAACAGTTATTACTCTCGCAGAATTTTATTCTGCCTTTAGGTAATAACTTAATTCTTTCTTTTTCTTTTTCTTATAAAAATTATTCAATTGTATTTTCTTTATAAATATTTTACTTATAAAGAAATGAAACCTTTAGTGTTCAAATTCTTTCAATAATGAACTAGAAAAAGAAAGAAATCAATCAATAAGACTAGAGTTGTTACATAGATGAAAATTTCCATGAGGAGTTCTAATTAGACTACAAGTGAGCATAAGATTCAACACAAAAAACAGCTATGATTGACTATAGTTCAGTCTAGGTCAAGAGGATTTAAGAAAGGAAAAAGGTAGAAAAAGTGGGGAAAAGAGGGAGTGATTTGGGAAAGAGTAGCCAGAGAAGTTGAAAACTCAACAGGTTGATCAGGTGAAATCGGGTGGCCTCAGCTGGTGTGTGCTCTGCGGGACTTTGCAAAGTCAGGGCCGGGCTTCAAGGATTGGGGGCAAAAAAAAAGTTGCGCGAGAAAAAAAAAGTGCAAAGGGCACAATCATTCACACAATAGCTGTAACATAAAGGCAGGCCAGCCCACTTTCAAAATCCACCTGAGCCCACACTGGAAGACTTTCTGCCAATATCTATGGGTCTCCCAGAGGCAATTTAGAGCCTCAAAAGCTAGATTTCCCAGTAACATTCTCAACATTTTGGGTCAAAATTGACATCTGCAAGGGTCCCAGATCCCACCAAAACTCCTCCACTATATAAATCCTGAGATAGTCCAGTTTTGGAGTTTATCAACACATAGCCAGTTTCAAGTAACTCGATTACAATTTTCCATCATTTGATAATAGGACGGTTCACGTCTGAACTTTGAGGCAAATTTAATGGCATTTATCATTAAAATTTTACAAGTTTGTGAAAAATCTTGATTTAATCCAAACCTGATGATTCATGAGATTTGACAAAATTCATAAAATTTTATCTACAAATGTTCTAAAAACTGCCCTGAACTTCAGACGTGAACCGGCCTAATAGGTGTGTGACCATGCACCCTTTCAAAAGTTATATTGGAGGACTTCCCATCGCCATTCAGAGTGCTTTTTAAGCCCTCCTCAGTCCTAAATTAACACCACAATCATAATTCCAACCAGCTCACATGTGAGCTATCTTCACAAGGCTTGTGAAAAAATAATTTTATCTACCAAAAATTAAGATCTAGGGGCTGTAAATTGAATTCTGGGAGGGTTTTAAACCGCGACGGGAAGTCATCCATTGGAGGACTTCCCGTCGGATCTGGGAGCCTCGCAGTTTTCGATTTAGACCCAAAAAGTCTAGATTTTCGCAGGGAAATCTAGCTTTTTCGGCTCTAAATCGAAACTGGGAGCCCCGCAGATGTTGACGGGAAGTCCTCCATTATAACCTTGTTTGAGCTGGAAGCCCTTTGAGATGTCCAACAACTTGAATGCCTCTGAAAAAGGATATGTGGACTTAATACAAATGGAGGACTTCCTGTTGCCTGAATCACTTGATCTAGAAGGGGGTCAGGTCAACATGAGGAAGTCCTCCAATACATGCACACCTTTGAAGAAGCCTGAAGGCAGTGTAATATGGCTTGAATGGCCCTTTCAACTGTGGAGTGTTATAAGGGCCATTGGGCAGCCATCTAGCATGTATACTGAAGATGACCCATTCTCATTTTCTGTTGAGCCTATGCTCCCTTTTTCCCAGAGTAATCTGGGGCTGGTTGTGTCATCAGGGTCTGGCTCTTCCATCATCATCCAGGGCAGTACATACAGGGTCTTAAGGTTTTGGCCACAGCCTCTCTTTCCCCTTCAACTTCTTCCATCCTTAACCCTGCCCATCTACACAAGGTTCATCGAGTCCACTGACACTCTTACGATTCGGCCGACAATCGAGGATTCGAGTTTGAGGGAAGTGAGCTTCTTTCTCGTGCTTGTAAGTTGTGTGCATCCCCATCTTCAAGGTCATCCATCGTCCGGACGAGTAGGAAGAGCAGTCAGTACCGAAAACAAATTGTAAAGTCATCCATCCACTTTGATATTCGAAAATATCCCAACAAGACTCAACACTGACACATCCTCCACATTACCAATATGCACATCCAGCCTCCCCTCATGGCCACTACCACCGTCTCCTCATCGGCGAACCCACTACTGGAATATCAACCAGCTTATACCTACTCCATGCCCACCCAACTTCTCATCCTCGGAATCGTACTCACCCTGCTCACCGTCCTACTCCTGCACCTACTCTTCACTGCAAAGTACCACTACCCTCTCGCCCCATGCAACTTCATCCTCCTCTTCTCAGCCGTCATCCTCACCCAACTCTCGACCATCATCCTCGTCATCCTCACGAATATCTACCTCTTCAATCGCAGTCGTTATTGGCCCTTCATGTTCGATTATATCGAAGTCACCATGCCCATGACTGACTGGAACGTCGTCCCATTAGCTGGATGGTATATCATGCAAGGAGCTGTCACCTTTCTGGCTCATGTGAGTCAAATTTCCGCTTCTTCAACTTCTTTTTCTGCTCTTTTCTCGTTTTTCTTTCTTTGTCTGTCCATGTAAGCATCCCCCGTTCATATCTGTCTCGATTTTTTCATCCGTATCAAAAACCTGTCTTCCACAAATCTACTCATCTCATATGCTACTCTCTAAATATTTTTTGCTTTCCTAATTCCCCACAGGCTACTCACATTCAATTCTTGACCCTTCTCTTCCCATCAACTCTAGAGCGAAGACTCATCCTCGCCTTCCTCGGCCCACTCTGCGTATTTGCCTCTGTCCTCTTCTTTACCCATTTCCTCTCTGATCCGAACTACCAAGACCTGGGTGATGCGATCCGGAATACAGCCACCTCGACCCTCTCGCTACTATATACGTTCGGACTATTGATCTGGGGATATGTTGTTAATCGAAAACGGGCCTGGGAGTTCGAAGGCGGAACGTTTGGCTTTGGAACCATGTCTATCAGTCTAGCTCTCGTCGGCACAGCAGCCAATTTTATCGAGGTTCGAGAGGACCGACTCAAGTGGCTACCCTGGCTAGTCAACACCGTCCTACTCTGGCAGTCATGGGCTGGGTTCTGGTGGTGGGTTGGTGCGGGGATGTGGTCGGGTGAGGTACAGGATATCGAACGACGAGAAGACAAGAAGCGGAGGAGGGAAGAGAAACGTCAACGGAAACGATCCAAGATGCTAAATCTGATCTCCAACCTGTCTCAATCCTCTCGCGACCTAGCATCTACCTCTGGCTTCAGTAGCGGTCTCCATCACGACTCGTCTCCTCAGTCACCCAACCTAGCTAGATCTCCTTCCTCAAGATTCGGCTCGGCCGTCCCCTCACGTGCATCCACCATCGTGCGAAGGTTTCCAAGCTCGCGTCGGGAGGAGGAGGAATCCGCCAGTCATATCGAGCTCGATGTGCTCAGCCCCCCTTCGAACCAAACCGGCGAGAGATTAACCCAAGGGCAGATCCGATCCCACACGACCGAGACCTCCTCATCGACGAACGATACGCCGACGGCGGACGACCGAAGGATATTCTCATTCATCCGTCAACCAGTCTTCCTACGTCAATGGCTCGGGACACTCAGCCAAGCGCACAACGAGGCGGCCAAGCAACAGGCCCGGACGGCCGGGGCCGAGCAAGTCAAGCGGTTCGGGATCCGCGCGATGACCCAAAAAGTGATCATGGAAAGAGTCGGCCAACAGCAGCGGGATCTGCCAGCCGAGAGTCCCAGATCAGTGGCCGACTCTCGGCGTCGATCACGCCCCCCGGCCCGACCGACGGCCGAGTCGGACTCGGATAACTGGGTCAGCGACGAGGACGACCCGGCGGCGATGGCTACGAATGGCCAACATCGGCCCACCGGCGGAGCCCCTTCGAGCCAGACTTACTCCCCATCTCCCTCCTCACCACATACCTCCCATCCTCACCAAACCCAATACGCCAGTCTCCCCAAATCCTCCCCTCGTCCTTCACCCCAAAACCTCAACCTTGGACTCCGTCTCGAACCCTTTCCCCCCGCTCCTTCCTCCTCCTCTAACCCCTCCCATCAACCCTCCTCTCAACATCTAGAACCCTCGCAACAGTTGCCTCGTAATTGGAAACGGCCGCTCATTAAGGCGAGGCTTAGAGACATCACTCGATACGATTGATCGCTGTCTTCTTCCCTCCTTGGCTTCCTTGTATCCTTCCCGCCCCCCCCCCTCCGAAAGAAACAATCAACAAACCAAATGTTGTTGTTTGTTTTACTTCATTTGACTTGATCATCAACAGAAGATGTATGTACTCTCTCACTTGGTCTTTACCCTTCTTGTTTATTCACCTATATATATATACATCTATATCACTTGTATCTCTCCTCCTGCTTCTTCTTCTCTTGGTTTCGTCTTTTTTTCGGGGGCTTTGATGATCATGATGACTGTAAATTTTATATTCTACTGTTTTTTTTGGGGGGGGTTGGTTTGTTCTTACAATTTATAAACATACATATCAAATGTGTCTTTGTTATACAATATCAAAAACAAAAACAAAGAAGAAAGAAAACACAATACTGGGTGTTCTTGTCTTGAACCTTAAACATGAGAAGGATTCTCCCTCTTCGAGCTTGTTCTTTATAATCCCCATATGTAGTTGGTGGAGGAAGAGTGTTTCAGAGTGCCAAGGTTTACTCTGGGGTTTTTGTTTGTGTGTGTGTGTGTTTGGTTGATACTTTAAACTTTTTTAAAAAAAAAAGTGGTGACAGAACCAACTGCAAAAAAAGAAGACCTGATGAATGCAGATATTGGTGATCTAGTTGTGCAATCAAATCAAGCAAATGCAGCCAGACCATGTTGTCTGCTAGCCCAACAATCTCTGAGACTCAAGACCATTAAAGCAGCCCTCTCTGGCTTATCAAAAAGAGAGCGGATCAGTCCTCTTTCCTGTTTTTAATTATCATTATTATTTCTTAGATCCAAGGGGTTTGGGATTTATAATCAGGAGGAATCAAGAAATCCACAGAGATTGTTGGCTTGTATTCACGACAACCTATCGTAGTCCTCAAGTAACACCATGGTACCCAAAAATATACAGAGGTGAGTACAATCAAAAAAAAAAAAAATCAATGCACAAAATGTGAGTCCAAAAAAAAAAAACGCAGGTAGTTCAAGGGATGATGAATCTGCTCCAACTCCTTGCCTGAACAAGGCATGTTAGTATCACTGGCACTGGCGGGCTGGGGGTGTTACCTATTAGCTGGCTGGGTAAGAAGCCTACTTGCCAGAAATAAGTAAGAATCTCATACTTGGCCAGCAGGTAGTAGGTACATGGTGCTTTCCACCTCCACCGCTCACAGCAAGAAGTGGGGAGATGCCTCTCAGCTGCTTGTCAGAGAGTAATATTTAATCTTTATTCATCTTCCAAGATGAATTCCTCCCCCACTGTGCTTTTTTCCACTTGCTAATTGCAGGCCCAACACATTCAATAAGTGTGATGGATTGTTTTTAAATTTTTGGCAGGAGAGTAAGTGCCTTGATTGTTGTGATTTGGTATTCATTCAAACCAGATGTCTTCTTTCTCTCCCTGCTTATCTCTACAAGCTTTTTTCTGTTGTCTATTTTCAAGGCTTTGTTTGGCCGTCCATGATCGTCATAAACGATCATGGCAGATATTTCGGGGGTGCACAGCTAATGACGGGGCCTCACGATGGTGTTTGGGAGGCCACATCATATCGAATCTCTTATGACGGAAATGGTCAACGAGATATATTCTCTGCCAAATCCAAGATTTTGGGTCCCCCCCAAAATTTTGCGTCATAAGTGCCGCTTCGGTGCTCTCATCACCCTCGGGCCGACTCGGCTTTCCCTTACAACAACTCCATATCACCCCCCAGCTGCACACCACCCCCTCTGACCGGCACCATGCCCCCCCCATCCTCCTAAACCGCCGTTCCGATCCTCCACTTCCGAGGTGCACCAAACAGCCACATCGTTATTGATATGGATTTTCAGGCTGCGTCATCTGCACAGCCTGAAAGAATCAAACCTAAATTCTGATTTGACGATTTTCGATGACGGTCTACGACGATTGTGGACGGCCAAACGAAGCCCAAATGTGTTCTTTTTTTCACAGTTTTCAAATATCATTTATCTTGCTCATCTTGATAAGTGTAAAGCTGAAAGCCAGCTTAATGGTGTGATATGTATGTATGTAGTCAGTCAATACTGAAATGCCCAATATGGCATTTCCAACATTTCTGCCAATCAACCCTCAGTGAAACGTGTTGCTTTATATTTGTATGCAGAGTTGTTTCAAACAAGGGATGTTAAAGTTTAGTGGCATACATGCATGTCCCCTGAAGCAGGTGTTTGATCAGCAAGTTATGCAGCTGATGCTCGTTTGGATCTTCTCTTCTGTGCTCTTAATAATCAGATGTGACCTGGTTTATAATTAGCAGATCGACGTGCAGTTCGGTCGATTCTTTTTCCATTGAGGACTGTTCCATGAGAAATAAATGGAATCCGGAATTCATCCTGGTCGCATCTAGAATCCCTTCAGATTGACCATCAATCCGAAATTGTTTTTAGACTTTTTGGTTGCCAAGAGGACACTCAGGATCGATTGGAAACACTTGTGAATTTTCCTTGTGACGTTGGGGAGATCGCCACCATCAACGTTGTGGTTTGCTGGACCAATCTACGAACAGGTTCTTTCTGAAAGAGTCTATTGTGGATTGATTGTTGAAACTTGAAGATAACAAGACCATCGAAAAAAAATGCTTGGATGTGTGTTTTCTTTTTTCTTCTTTTCTTCGCAGCCTTTTGTCATGGTTCTCGATTGTGTGAGAGAAGCAATTCTTCCCAGAAGGGGTCTGGGTTTTTCACATGATGAGCTTGTGATCAGTTTCCTCTTGGACGAATGTGGTGATGATTGTCATGGTTTCCCATTGAAGTGACCCCTCCTGTGAAAGGGGGTTTCCTCTATTCTTGACCCCCTGTGAACCCACCACCTTCAAAAAAACAACCAAACAACTCCACCAACTTCAACCGGCCAACAACTTCAGAAGAGGAATTCTTTAGAAACGAACCAATCCACTAAAAAACGAACAAACAAACGAACGAACAATCAAACATGAACGTTTTATCGAAGGAGAAACTACCCCAGTACAGCTACCATCATCCGAGCCCAACAGCGATCAAGAGCAGGACGATCACCAACCGAGTCCTGCCCAGCATCATCCTCTTCTCCGTCCTCCTCTCACTGCCCATCTTCCTATTCTTCCACTACACCTGGAACCATTCCAGCTCGATCCAGCCATCCACCAGCCATCCGTCCTTCGCCCACAACCCAGCCTCCTCCTCCTCCTCGGAGAACTTCCGTCATCCTCACGATCATACCTCCGCAGAAGAACATGAGCTGCCTAAGCTCGGAGACATGATCCCGTCCAAGGATACCCTCAAGGGCGGTACCATCATGCCCAAGATGGCTAATGCGACCGCTAAGTACGTCATCCATCATCATCCTGAAACATATTCTTGGTCTTAAACTTACGCTTGATTTTGGACGCTAATAGGGCCGAATTGGGTCGGGCTACGTGGAAGGTTCATCTCTTCTTTGAAACGTTTCATCCAAGACTTGAAACCTCGCTCCAGACGTTCATACTAACCCTGTGTATCACTCTTCATCCTACCCTCTCAGTTTATGCACACTATGACAGCACGGTGAGCTTGTCCTCTCCATCACCTCACATCATCTTTATCCTCTAACGCTTGTTTTTCTTCAATTCAGATTCCCAGAAAAACCAACGGCCGATGAACGTGAAGCTTTGAAGGCTTTCATCTATCTCTTCTCCAGGTCAGTCTACTCGATCCGAACCTTTTGTTCCGTAATCTTTTTTTTTTTTTTTTGCTTTGGGGATTCTGAACCGGCTGACGATTTCGTCCATGTTTGTAGATTATATCCATGTGGAGATTGTGCGCGACATTTCCAAGAGTTACTGAAACAATATCCGCCCCAAGTTGAGTGACCTCACAAGGTCTTTTCAACACACATGGACACTGATCACCTGCCTTACTCCATTCTTCTTTTTTTGTTACTGCAGACATCCTCAAGGAACGTCGCTTCCTTGCATCTCTGTTCGCTCCACAATCTCGTCAACGAACGACTAGGAAAACCCGAGTACAACTGCACCTCTCTCCTCGAGAACTACGATTGTGGATGCGGCCATGACGAGAAAGAGGCGCTCAAGAAGCTCAAGAAACCCAACGAATCCTTCCTCGATAATCTCTCGCTCATGACGCCTGCTTTCTGATCTCCGTTTGCTCTGGGTTCTTGGACTTTTTCTTATCACGCCTCCTCAACTTGAATGTCCATCTGTTGCAGTTTGTTTAGTGGTTGATTGAATGATTATCCTTTGATTAGAACAACCCTCCCCCGCTCTTATATACCTTGATCAAGATTACTCCCATCTACATATCCCTTTTTTTTCAGATCTTACACTTACCCTTGTTGTTACATCCTTGTACATACATACAATGTTGTTATTGTTGTACACTTCAAATATTTCATCAAGTATTAGATTTTTTTTCTTTTGTCTTACCCTCATCATCAAAAACAATTATAACCATGCTTCTTCTCTTCTCTTTTTTTGTTTGTTTGTTTGTGAAAGATAAAGCAATTTAAAACTTATCCAACTTTTTTTTACCATAAGTGGAAATTATGTATAAGAAAATGAAAAGATACTGGGAGTTCTGTGACTGGTTTTATTTGAGTGCAAAAGAAAGATGAGGAAACTCTCCAGCTGTGGTTACAACTTATAAATGTTTTGATTATGTAACATGTAGATTGAAAAGTATGTAAATACGAAATGAAAAAGTATGTAAATCTACATATGGTGTTGCAAGCCCATCTGGGCACCCACCAAAGTTTGGCCAAAAAAAAGGCCAAGTGTGCTGGGCCAATCCCAAAGCCCGCTTGGCTGATCCTAAAGCGTGTGTGGCACCATCCCAAACCCCGCTTGGCACATGCTGAAGTTGGCGGGGGTTGGGACAAAGCCTTGCTTGGCCAATATCAAGCAAGGGTGCCACACCCGCCAAAATGCCGGCCATTGAGAAGGAATCCCTTCTTGATGACCGGTTCACTACTTGGTCAATCAGTCTCATTGATGACTGGTGCTGTATAACCATCATTGAGGATTCTCTCCGTATACCAAGTGTCAGTACGGGTATCTCCCGTCCTTGACAACTAGGTTTGTACGGGACCACAGGTCTTTGAGAGGGAGTTGTACTGATCCCTCTCAAAGGCCAGAGTGTGCCAGTTGATGCCAGGCTGGTGCCCAGGAGCGCCTGAGCCACCAATCAGCCCTTGGCTAAGTGCCAATTCCCACCCCCCGCCCAACCGCCATGATCAAGCCCTGTGGGCACATTCCAAACCACGGGTGGCACTCGGCCAAGCAGGACTAATTGGAATGTGCCCAGATGCACTTGCAACACCATATAACTAAAAAAAAAAATAGGCTTAGAGAGCCAAACAAACTGTCATGCAATCTAACAACGGTGTTGACCTCCAATTCACATTTGTCGCATCTGTTGATGTGAGAAAAACCCAATAGGTCATCAAGGAAACACCTGATTAAAAAAAAAAATGGGGCAAATATAGTCCCACCCAAAACTCCCCAAAAATGGGGGCATGTACTAGTATGAAATAGAAAATAGACAAAAGTCGTAAAGGAAAAAACTTGATGAGAAAAGAAAAGAAAAAACAAAATAGTTTGCAATGTTGTCATCTCCTCACCATACAGAAACACCCCTGTGTGGTGTGAGTCATACATGTGTGAATATGAAGATCTGAAGCTGATCTGGACATATGTTTTTTCCTGACTGACAAATCAGCCCTAGCCTTGATTTATGAAGCATTCATTGATCGATTTCAGATGTGTTTGTTATGTATGTATGTAGTTGTAATATCAAAGTTGTAGATCAGAATGTTCTGCAACCGATATGTAAGGCAGTTTGTGTTGGCCCAGAAACATTGTTGCTGCTGATGGGTGACCAAGCTCTCTCTCCACAAGTGCACAATCTTTTGGAGGACAACAGTTGGATGGGTTGTCAATCTGCAGGGAAAGTCTGCCAGTACATATTTACATGACCTGTCCTGTCTTGAGATCATGGAGATAAGGAAGGATTGGAGTTGTTGTAGGGTTGTAGGAAAATTATGAATTGGATTTCTTTTTTTTTTTTGAGGGGGGGGGGGGGGGGGTTAGGGATTGTACCTGGAACTTTGAGGTGGATGTGGGATCTAGGTCTCCTCCTTCTCCTCATGATGGTCAGTAAGTTTTTTGGCAGAGACCAGCGTTCTTGAGACTTGAGGCGGTTTGATGAGATCAACATGAGTGTGAGTGATGTATGAAAGTTGGTCACTGCATATTTTGGGAAGGTTTTTTTAGGTCTGTAGCCTCTCGGATCAGGATTCAGATTTGGGCTTGGCTCGGCGAATCTGATTTCATATAACGGAATCTGGAAAACTCTGATTACATAATTTTGGAGCTGTCTGCAGATCTGAAACTGAAAGGCACATCAACAAAGGGAACTCTCTTGTTGACCGAGTTGATCCAATTCCCAAACTGATCGTCAAAAAAACCAAAAACCACAAAAAAACGAACGAACGAACCATGAAGACCAGGAAACAGCAACAAGCACTGACTATCAGCGACTCAACTCAACCACAACCAACAACCAAGACAAGAACAACGAGACAACCAGTAGTAATGATATACCAACAGAAACAAAAACAACCAACAACCACAAAAGATCACAATCAGAAATGTAAAGTGATCATCCCAAAACTCAAGATACCTCCAACTAACCAGATTAACCAAACCTGGGATCCAACTCAATTAGAATCAGAGATGTATGTCCACTTCTAAATTATATACACTCATAGATAGAGTATATACGTACTGATTCGGGGGGAGAAAAATCATCCGTGGATTGCGTACACTTAGTCAGGATAAACGACAATCTACCAAACGATGGGTCGACTTGACTCGAACGTATACTTATCCAAACGAAATTAACACAGCACCAGAAGAAGAAGAAGAACTACCAGAAGAACAATTATTAGAACCAGAAGAATTAGCGGGGTCAGAAGAATTAGCGGAACCAGAAGAATTGCTCCAACCGAAAGACGTAGAAGAGCTTCATAAAACGGAACAGAAAATAAATCATGAAAGCAGGAGAAGCTTGAGTGAAGAAGAAGAAGAAGAGGAAGAAGAGGATGAAGAGGAAGGGCGACCGACTGAAGAGCCAACTCAGCCGAACATCCCACGATCCGAATCCACCCTAGAATACCTCCAACTTCCGCCCGCCTCATCAGCCTCCACGAGTCAGAAGACCGCATGTCGATCTCCGGCCAGAGATCTAGCCCACGAAGCAGATTGTTGTAATACGCCTACCAACAAGAAACGAATCCATGAGCACGAGCACCAAACCTCTCCTGAGAATCTCTCCTACCGATCTGAGCCATCCAGTGATCCCAAGAAGGCTCGCACGACTTCTTATCCCGAGCCATCATCATCTAAGCCCGGCCCTAGTCGACTTCCTCACAAGCCTTCCTCCGCTTCAAGACTTTTGACAAACGTACGAAGCACTCGTCCGACCACACCCTCAGGATACGACGAGGAAGGAGATCCGTTCGGATTCATCCACCATGCCCAGCAAGTAGCTCGGCCAACCAACGACACCCATCAACCTCACCATCATTCTCCTCCTCTTGACCATCATCACCAGCTTCCTTCTGGAGATAATCATAACCTCTCCGATCTCTCGCTCGCTGACTTGCTCAACCTCCCCAAAAAATCCACGAAACAAAAGAAGAATGCAGTCCCGAAGAAACCCGAGCTTCGCAAAACTTCGTCTTCTTCACATCCTGTCCATCGAACCCGTCGATTGCCTGTCCACAAATCTGGCAAAGTCGATATCCTTAACAATCACAATAAGATCATCAAACCTTCTCTTTCTTCTTTGGTTAGTTTTTTTTTTCGCATGATTCTTGATATTTCATTTTCACGCAACGAGACCAATTCGTCTAATCTCTTGTTTTCGTTTATTCTAAAAAAAAAAAAACAATATGGTTGGTTTTTGGATAGGACAAGAAAAGGAAGGGAAAGAAGAAGAAAGAAATCAACAATGAGAATGATGAAGTAGATGAGCAAGAAGAGGAACTGCAAGATCTGCCAAGCCCATCCTCCTCTTCATCATCAGCAGCATCGTCTTCTTCTTTTTTGCCTGGTCGGACGGGCCAGCGGCGGGAGCGGGTGTTGGAACAAACGACGGATAGGGATCTGTTATCGTCTACTGACCAGTCAGTTTTTTTTCTCTTTTTTATTCACCAAACCCCACCACAAACAATCAGAACGACTGGCCAACTCTCATTCTTTTTCTTCATTCTGTCTCATCTATCAGTCATTCTCCTCCTCCTGAATCGTCGTCCTCGACGACGTCATCCGCATCAGCATCGACCCGGAAGATCCTCGCATCCAAAGAAAACATGATCCGTCAAACTCGAGCTTCTCGTCGTCCTACTGCCCGAACCCTGAAACCGAGTAAGAAAACAAAATCTTTGAAGCAGAAGACAAACGAACCGAAGAAGAAGAGTACTCGAAAAAGCCGTCAAGAAAAGGGGAAAGCCTCTCGAAGCTCGAAGATCGTTGTAGGTCCTATAATCTTGAACTTGCTACCTTCATAATCCTCATCCTCACCCTTTTTTTTTCGAAAAGTCTGCTGTTTCTGTGGATCCCTTAGCGTCGGAGGCGGAGAAGGACAGACAAGCCGCTAGGTTACGATACTATGAGGCGCTCGACCAGGTCCAATTCGAGGAAGAAATCGTCATATGATTTCAGTCTCTTGATCACATCCACCACACACACACATATATATATATACCTTATACTCTAGCGATCACCCTACATTGGACATCTCCCCCCCTGTTCCCTCATTTATTGTACTTGATATCCCGCCCTTTGCTCTGTCTTTGGCTCCTTTTTTTTCGGTATCGGGGCGGCTGCGGCTGGGGGCGCAGCCGAGAAGGGGCTGATAACGCGCTTCGGTGATTGTTCATTCTTGTGTACCAACAAAAAAAAAGCAGTATGTAGTTGTTGTAGTTATTAAAAGTCTTAGAGATTAGTCGAGGTTGAGGGGTTCGATGATGCTTACACTTACACTTACACTTACACTTAGTGTATGCACATATAAACAGCATAAGATTTACTTATTTTACATGCATGTATAATTTGTACATCTAATAAAACTTTGGATGAAGATGCGTGGAGGTTATGTGCTACAGATGGGAAGAGTGGAGCTGCCAGTTGCCATGTACGACTCAGGAGTCAGCCTGATTGAAGGTGCTCTCATGCGACCTGATCAGCAGCCATACGGGTTTATATATCTTTCTCATGTACAGTGGGTGGACCATTATTTTTGGCTGCTTGTTTTGGATCCCAGAGCTTCAAAGCACCAGATTGAAGTCATGATACTTGGTCAATTGGTGCAGAATAGGTCCCAAAAAATGAATATGAAAAAATAAAAACAAAAAACAAAGTTTCAAAATTTGTGAAAAATAAAAAATAAAATTGATTTTTTTCAAAAGCTTTGATATTCATTTTGGGGAAGTGTGAGTGCAGAGAGAAAGAAAGAATGGAAAGTGGGAAGAATGATTATAAATGAAAATTTTGGAAAAAGTGGTTACCAGATAGTTTTAACCAGTTGTTGAGTGGGGCATTCACCAGCTCACATTGCAGTAAAGCACTAGAATTTACTGTTTTGACTCCAATCTGGACAACCAACCTGGCTCAACCTTTTTTGGTTCCAATTTTTTCATTTATAATTATTCTTGCCATGTTCCACTCTTTGTTTCTCTCAGCACTCCCACTCCCCCAAAATGAATAACAAAGCTTTTGGAAAAAAACATTTTTATTTTTTATTTTTCACAAAATTTAAAACTTTGTTTTTTGTTTTTATTTTTTCATATTCATTTTCTGGGACCTATTCTGCACCACTTCACCAAGTCTTGTGACTCAAAGTTTGTGCTTTGAAGCTGTAGAATCCAAAACAAGCAGCCAAAAATAACAGTCCACCCACTGTACACATGGATGTAGTACAGCAACAAAGAACCTAAAAACCGGATGGGTTTTTTGTTGGTTTTTTTCAGTCAAGACATTCATTCATGTTAGATTGCTTGAGAAAGACATGGAAAGACAATGCTCATGTATCCATGTGTATGAAGTTTCTGATTTCTGATTTTGCTGGGGGCTGTCTGCTCCCACTGCGGAGTCCCAGTTCTGTGACCGCCAAGAATCATTTGAATCTTGTTATCTTCCTCACTCATTCTTTTCTTGAATCACTTATTTACAATAGTGTTTTTTTCTTTTTCTTTGCCTATCAAGCTTGATTAGTAATTTAGTGTTGAGATAATAGGACAGTTCACACTTTTACGGCCTGTACCGTAGGGCTTGGAACCCCGGTCTCTTTCTTTCCTCAAATTCTCATCTCATCAACAGTGATGAGTTCCAAACAGCCAGTGTGTGGACTTCAAAAAAAGTGCAGAATTTTGGCAACTCATCTTTTCACTTGTTTCCAATTTTTGGGGATGTACATAGAAGACAGAAAAAAAAATGATATGTAAATGTTTGGAATCAAATCCCATGGTGAAGTCTTTGGACTGGAATTTTGATTTAAATGTTCTGCAATTATCTTTGATGATTTGTAGCTATGAAGTGGAGGAATTTCCTTTTGCAATTTACAGGGCCGTAAATGCTACTCTAAGATTCCTACATCAACACACTATGTGCCCATTGCACCTGGAGGCCATCATCCCCCTGATCAAGAAATCATATAGAGTTTGTCTTAACAAAATAATATTACAGGGTGTAAATTGAGGATCAGAATGCCTGTAAATCAGAAGGCAAGTCCTCCCGCATCAGACTCATAGTCAGTAGTCTTCATGTATTTATTCAACATGGTTTTCTTTGTTTTCAATTATTTTCTTCATATCACTTTGCAACCACAGATTAGTTTATTTCAAAGCTAGCCCAATACTCTACACAAAACCAAAACCAAGCATCAGGTATTCTTCACTTTGATCCAGACAGAGTGGTCCTCAACTTATAAGATCCAAGAGCAGGTCAGTCTCATGTTGAATCCACAAAGTGTTTCCATCATTTCCTGTCAACTCTCATTGATATCAACAAGGATTTCTACAAATATGGTATGAGGGAATTCCCTTGATTGTTCACACTCACACAGGGTCAGATTTCTTTTGTGTAATGTGGAAGATCTATGCTTGTACACAAACCTCCAAGTCCTCAAGTGCCTCTTTTTTTTGGGGGGGGGAGGATTTCCCTGGATTTTTACCCAGATCTGCAAGTTGATGGGTGGGGGGTTTTTTCAGACACATGGCTGGGTCCTTTAGTGAAACCTCATTTCCAAACTGGAATCATGTATATTGTCCCTGAGTAATTTTCAACACAAATAATTTACCTTCTTAATTCACCATCTCTGAAGTTTTTAGAATCCACACTAGAACTGGGAAGTAGAAATGTGCTTTTACAGTACTAGAGGCTCCTGCTTATTGTAAAGAAAATTCAAGATTCAAGACCCACTGTTGTTTCTAAAAACACTATTTTGATTCTTGAACTCAATCTAGATATAATTTCTAAACATTCACCCAAAAATATTGTTCAAGATTAATAACATAGAGCAAAGCAACCTTAATGAGAACCAGAGTTTGAGACTACAATGAGTGTCCAAATTTTTTGGCTATGGGATTGAATCAGATTGATCCTATGTAGTAAACCCATCATCTTTAATAGTGGGACTCAAAGCTGAAAGCAAGTGACTTTTATGAATTTTGGCAAGTCACTCTGCACAAAAAATTAGGCAAATTGAGTGGCCAAAATTCATGAAGGTAGCTTCAATTGCATTCAACTTTGAAATGGAGGCCAAAATTATTTTCCAAAATATTCAGTTATAGGATTGATTCCATGGAGTGAACCATGCACCTTGTTTAGAACCAAAATTGGATAATAGCAATACATTCCCTTTTCAGGCAGTAGGACAAGCATGCACCCTCACGTGCACTCAGTTATAATTCTTACCTGAATGTTGACTTTTTGTATGGTTTTCCTCATATTTACTTTTTCAACTTGCACCTGACTTGTCACACTAAGTGCCAATACTATGACCACACTGATCTTGATATCAAAACCTAGTGAATCAGAAGAGGAATCAAACATACATTCAAGCTTCTGCAAATTCATATGAAATATTAAAAGTGGTTGAGATCTCAAGTGCAGCATATCAATATTGAGAAACACAAGCAATAAAAAATGTATTTGGCAAAATTTGAGCAAATAACATGCGTGACAAAAGGGTCACAACCTAGGGTTCATGACAACAACAGGCTTCCTATCACACTGCAAAGGTCTACAACGGACTATTACCTAATGAATTCGAGATGATTGAATTAAAATAAAACATGAATGAGTGAGATAGCCGGGGGTAAGAAAGAAGAGAAAATTACTCAGCATTCCCGCACAACATTTGGATAACCATGGTATGGTGCAACCACATGAAACAACCCACAAATGATATGGCTTACCCAACATTCAGCACGGAATTCCATGTCCACTACATTGCAAGGGTAGGTGTGATAAGACTAAATGGGAGACTGATTCTGTTTCTTTTCTCGATTCTTCATCAGAGGTGTTTATGCATGATATCAAAGGCCATAGGTATGGCCCTTATGTTTTGTAGTTCTGCTTTGCATCACGAAGGCATAGATTCAGAAGAATCGCTTGTCCTTCCATTCATTTTAATTCAGAGCTCAAGTTTTACTTGAAGTGGTCGTAGCCTGGGTTGGACAATTAAACACGAGCTTTGAAGTTGAACGTTTTTTTTTTCGAAGGCGCCGGGCACGAGCTTTAACGCGCAAGTGAAGGTCGCCCCAATCCCTTTGGGGGGAGGCGGCACTGTATCATGATGTTACCCAAAATAACATCAAAACGAGTGGGATCGTAATATTTAATGTAACGAAGTTGTTACTAATTAACATGTCGGCTGCAAGTTAAACTGCGCAGTTCAAAGGCTTTCCGCCGCTACGATGAGATCACCGAGTTGCGGGATGAGTGGAGCCTCCGATGTCGCATGCCAAAAGCTCAACCCTCGCCAAGGGTTGGTGTTCGCTCTCACTCTTGGGTGATGCGCGTTGCCGATCTCGAAGTGGTGCCCTGTTTGTTGTTGTTGTAAAGCACTTGCCCAACAGCCATCTCCGTCTGACTGGGAGAAGTCAACAAGAGTCAATAGTTCATACAAAAAAGACTGGACTTGTAAGAGAACTGTCGACACGCTGAACAAGTGTAAGCCTTCCCCCAAGCTGGAGGTCTGGCGTCTTCGTCTGTTGGACCGCTCTGGCTGGACCTCATAGCTAATACCAGCCCCTTCGCCCTTGAAAAGTGGCGGGATCGCAGTTAAAACTGACAAGGGCCGCTAATTTTGAAGCGTTTGCCCCAGGAGTGACCAGAGCAAAACCCCAGAAAAAACCGGCCCTCGGATTGCACTGAGCTTTCAATTGATCAAGGCGACTGCCCATTACCTTCGGCCTGACCGTTTTCGAGCGGTTTTCTGTGGCCGCGAGTCCCAGAATTGCTATAACTAGCACCCTTTCCCCCGGTATTCTTGTATTCTTTATCCAGTACCACTCAATCCTGCTGAATCCTATCATCATCAACACCCGTAAGCTTTCGAACATCTACTTTATCTATTAGCATCTTTCAAGAAGACTTTCTTTGAATAACCAAGGAAGAATTCTCTTTTCTTCATATTTCCATTAGTGTCGCCAGTATCATCATTAACCTTTAGGAGTTTTTATTTCAATTTATCGTCGATTAGGATCACTCCTTAAGCTCTCTGTGTTCTATCTATTTACTCTCTTCAACCATAATACTGCAACAGCAGCATCTCGGATCCCCTTCACTTTTCTTGCTTACCTAACTTCTCACAAAAGATGCCTTCCGACTTCGCCACACAAATTGGTGTGACAAGACTTCCTAACCTCACTGGGGATGGCCGCGATGGTTTTCCATCTCGTGCTCAACACGATTGGTGTGTTGCGCAGTACCTTGGCGAGATGTGCGAAAAGAAAAGAGGAAAGGCTTTGATTGTACGTTGTTCCTCTTTCTATTCCTCGGAGGGATATGCTCATAATTGACTCAAACCTGCTTTCACAGGACAAAAATCTCTACGACCGCATCCTGGCCGTATGCTTCGATGACAGTAACAAGAAGACCGAGACCGCCCAGTTCCGCTGGTGGGTACGCCGGACCTTCAAGCTTTACTCTGAGCCTCATGGTCATTATTTGATGCACGAAAATCGTCCGATTGCGGTCAAAGAACAAATCTACGACATCCTTGTCTATGCGCATGCTGAATGCGGACACGGCGGTCGGGATAAGACGTCGGCCGCAGTTCGGCGATACTTCTCCTGGATCCCGAAGGATGTCGTTTCCCGCTTTGTTTCAGTCTGCCCCGGGTGCCACGCTCGTACGCAGAAAGACGATGAGTACTTCAGCAACAAGGGAGTCGATGGATACTATCCCGTCCACGATAAAGTCCGTCAAATGTCAATCGATAGCAGAAGATCAAGCGTCGATGACTATAAGCACACCTCACCTTATCAACCACTCTTGGCAGCTGGTATGGTTAAGATCCTCAAAGCCATTGAAGGAGCTAGAGCTTTTCTTCCTCTGTCGGACCAAAACCCACAGATGGTACACGCCCCATCTGCAAGCACCACCAACGTTATTCAAAGCAATTACCTCCCCATTCCTGGTACGCATCTACTCAACTTCACATCGGGAAGCAACTGTCCTTCGCCTTTGAGTTTGCCACAAACACCTCACAGATCTATTCCAAGCCCTGCAAACTACTCCGGCCCTGATGGATCGGCATCAGGTGTTTACCGTGAAAGTTTTCCTGGCCCAGTCGAGATGAATCCGTATTTCGGATCAAGTTATTTGAATGTACCCCAATCTCTTGGTGTACCGAACTATCAAGCGCGGTCTTTGAGTCTTCCAGCCGTCGGTATGAAAGGTCGCTCGTCGTTAGAGCAAGAGTTCATTGGAATTCCCACATCATCAAATCCTGAAATATTCACCGGCCGTATTGTTAACGCGAGGAGTAAGTCCCAGTGTTCCCCCTTCCCACATATCGCCAAACCCCCTCGGCCAAGCGTAGGACGTAAACTGTCCTCCAAGTCAAAGGAATACAAGAAGATGGTTCTTCCAGAGACCTATGTCCCATCGGCAGATATCTATTGTCCTACTTCCTACTATGGCTCTCAGTCCTCAGCTCAGAGTTTGTCAAACTCGGAAGATGATGGCAACAGCAAATCAACCTTCTCATCGCCCCCAACTTACCAAACCATGTTGCAGTATCAAGGAAACTTCCAGGATTACTCGCTATCACAGAGCTCAAACCAAGAGCTGGAAAACCTTCAACCTCTTGACCTTCACCAGCAAGTAGGACCTTTCGGCGAATACGCCTCGGAACATTCGGTACCTGACTTTTCAGCTCTCAGCAACCTACCCATATCTCATCTGAGCTATATGGACCCATACAATGCGGACGCCTTCTTGTCAGGAGTCCAGGTTCCCGAGAGCTGGAACATTGGTACCGATGGTATTTGTGACTACATGCTCCCGGATCTGTTGAACAGCCAGCTCTTCGACAACTCCCCCACCGATTACTGCACCCTCGTCAACCTACAAACACCCGGAGCTCCCACTGACGCACTCGGCAATGATGCACAACTTGAATCATCCACCTTTCCTGCCCTCGATTCATGGTCTTCTGGTTCTGGATCTCAAGAGCTTTATAACATGCCCGACCCGTGCTACCAGACCCTTTACCTTCCAATCAATCAAGCTAATGCCGACCTTTTCCAACTGGGCCCACAAACTATCCCTTCTGATATCGACACACACCATCAAGGCCTCACTTTCCCCAACAACGACTGCTTCAAGAACCTTTCAACTATGGAGCCTTCTTCAAGCTACCCTCCTAACAGCTTAGGAATCAACTTCCCCGATGAGTTTCAATTCGGCCCTAATCCCATCTATTGAACTGGATCATTGAAATTCAAAGCAAGTATCGTCATGTGGTCTATTCCGTGTTTAGCTTTCGATCACTCCTATTCCTTTTCTCTTATTTTATTCATCTATTGCAGTTTTTGTTCACAGTACTCAAACCGTATTCATGTACCACCTAAGCAGGACTGTTTACCACAAGGACATATTTTCTTTCATATGATGGACTCACTTTTTTTTAGTAGATGTATCTTCGTTTTTCTTTTTTGTCGTTTGTCTTTTGTTCGACTTGAGCCTTCAGATCAAGTTTTTTGTACCAGATGGCCTGTTCACATTCTTTATGCAACGGAAAAAAAAAATCAAAATGATGGTTCATGAATCATGATGAGCCAGGAAAACATCCAATCATGCGTCTCGTAAGATCAAAGTTAGAGGTCTCCTCTGGGGGCCGCGCAACCAACATGGTGGCTGCCCCTTCAAAGTCAAAGCCGAAGTTCAACTTCGAGCTTGTGCTCGCAATAGCTCGCTTGCTGGGGCAGTACAACATGACATGTCACCGGCCTGGTTGAACTGCTCTAGCGTAGCATTTTGTACTCATGAGTCAAGATCGATAGACCTATTGCGTAAATAATTTCTTCAACAGGTATACTCTAAGACGGATTTGTTCATAGCAATTCGATGTCATGACTCATGAGTAGCTTTTGGGATCCTGGTCACTGAAATTCTGTTGCATGGCCCCACGGCGCGGTCAACGTTGAACGCCAAGCATATCCGTCGCACATTGCAACTCGAGCTTTCCATCCGAAAGGGTGGTATGACGTTCACAGCGATGAAAAAAAGAGCTTCTCTCATCCAGCGAAGACAATTGCGGGCGCTGGAATGGCTTCCAACGAATATGTAACCAACACGTTTCTTGCACATTATGTTTGATACTCATCGGATTAGCTTAACTCATCAGCTTGTATACACCTTCCTCGAAGAAAACCCGACGAGAAAAACAATCTGCCAACTACGTATATATTGTATAGAAAACATACCCAAACACTCAAAACATTGAATTCCACAATGAGGTTTATCTTCTTCATCCTGTTTGTCACCATTGGATTAGCCGTCGCCGTCCCAGCACCGAAGGCCGCCGCTCCAGCACCAAAGGCTGCCGCTCCAGCACCAAAGGCCGCCGCTCCAGCACCGAAGGCCAACACGCCAGCACAAAAGGCCGCCGTTCCAGCACAAAAGGCCAACCCGCCAGCACAAAAGGCCAATCCGCCAGGACAGAAGGCGAACCCTCCAACACAAAAGGCCGCCACCTCAGAACAAAAGGCCAACAACCCAGCACAAAAGACCACCACCTCAGAACAAAAAGGAAAGAGCACCATCCCAGAACAAACAGGAAAGAGCACCACCCCAGAACAGAAACAAAAGGGCACTACCCCAGAACAAAAAGGAAAGAGCACCACTCCGGAACAAAAACAAAAGGACATCAACCCAGAACAAAAACAAAAGGGCACCACTCCGGAACAAAAACAAAAGGACATCCCAGAACAAAAACAAAAGGACACCCCGGAACAAAAACAAAAGGGCAAACAAAAGGGCAGCCCCCCAGCCCAAAATGACACCCCCTCACCACAAAATGACACCCCCTCACCACAAAGTTCGAGCCCGTCACCACAAAGTGCCAGCCCGTCACCACAAAGTGCGAGCCCGTCACCACAAAGTGCGAGCCCGTCGCCACAAAGTGCGAGCCCCTCACCACAAGATGCCACCCCTTCACCACAAAATGACAGCCCCCCGTCACAAAATGACTCTCCCCCAGCACAGAGTGACACCCCCTCAGCTGGAACCACCTGGAGTTGTGAAGACTCTAAGGTCCGAGGAGTTGCTTTCTCTTTCCGTGGATGTGAGGTTGAATCTAAGGGTAAGCCCGGTCCTCCTGAGTCCTCAATAACATTTGAAAACTTTCATCCGGCACGCTTTTTTTTCCCCTGGCGTTTTGTCTAATGATCTTTAAACTTCAATTGTGAGCAGTCACCGATGCTCCAAGCGAAGGCGATTGTGCTAGTCAGAACGCGCGCCGATGCTGTAAGATGAAGGCTGTAAGTAAAAAAAAATCTTGCTTGGAAGATGGGCTCTAGCCTCCAGTCTCTAGAAATTCCGCAGATAGATACGATATCTCCCCTCGTTGCTCTATGCATCCTTGGCCATCCGACTGACCTTGAGCTCTGCTTTTTTTAGTCCACGGCAGGGTCATCCAGAGGAAACTGCATCCCAGCAAAGCAAACTTGATTCTCTCTTTTATCTTCGGGGGGGGGGGGGGACTCACAACTACCATGGGGTACATCAACACTCACCACTTTCTGTGTTGCCTTTCTTCCTCCCAAGCTGGGTTTAAGAATTTCCACTCTTTCCCATCTCAAACTCAACAAAGCCGTGCCTGCTGTGGAAATTTGAACCAGCAAAGCGAGTCTCGGGCAGGAGGGATCGCGCTCTGTCGCCCCATATTGATGGAGCAAGAATTGAACCTTAGGTGGGAGGAATCTTCAAAAGTTAACGCTTAGTGAACAGCCAGCTCCTCGACGACTCCTCCACCAAATACTACACCCGTGTACTCAGCCTACAGACACCTGGAGCTCCCACCGATGCACTCGGTGATGATGCACGACTTCAATCATCCACCTTTCCTGCCCTCGATTCCTGGTCTTCCGGTTCTGGATCTCAAGAGCTTTACAACATGCCCTACCCGTGCCACCAAACCCTTTACCTTCCAGTCAATCAAGCTAATTCTGACCTTTTCCAGCTGGACAACCAAAATATCCCTTCTGATATCGACACTCACCATCAAGACCTCACTTTCCTAAACAGCAACTCCTTCAAGAACCTTTCGACTCTCGAGCCTTCTCCAAGTTGATTTATTCCCTTAATAGCTTGGGAATCAACGTTGTTCTTTGATGAGTTTCGGTTTGGCTCTAATCCAATCTATTGATGATTTTCAAAGCAAGTATTGTCATGCGGTCTATTCCGTCATTAGATCTCGTTCATTTCTATCTCTTGCCTCCTCTCAATCTTTTCATCTATTGCAGTTTTTGTTCATAGTGTTCAAACCGTTTTTCTATGTAACACCGCAAATCAGGACTGTCTGCCATAAGGACATACACTCTTTCATAAATCCTCATTTGGTTGATGTTTTTTTCGCATTCTTTTTTGTAATTTTTTTGTCATTTTTTTTTTGCTTTTTTTTGTTTTTTGTTTGATTTTGGCTTATAAGTTAGGAGCCGCGCATCAGATTCTTGTCGAAACTTTTCTTTGTACCACACCAGAGCCTGTTCACATTCTTTATGGCACATGAAAAAAAGTAGTACAAAACCCCGCAGACCAAGATGCTCGTTCCGAGACTACAATGATATGGCTTTGCTGATGAAGCAGGCCGGAAAAAAAAAGCTGAATGTGTTGAACGGGCTTCAAAACAAGCATCTTCACGCCTGACCAACCAAAAACAAGTTGGACATCTTGTCTTATTCCGCCCTTTTCGACCCCCAAGCCATACCTCTCCAAGACCAAAGATAGATGTCGGTAGCAGGGTTGACGCGACGAATCGCGCTACTTTGGAGGTCGGCCCTCCAGATTCCAAGCCAAAGAGTTGGAGGTTCTGCTTGTAACCAGCCTCTTGACATTTGCTGCGGCAAAACATCGTAATAGGATGCCATGTCTCCAGCCTGGTTGAAGTGCTTCACCATAGCGTTTTATTTTACACCCGTGAGTGATGATAGACGGTACCTATACTGCGTAGATAATTTTTTTAACAGGTAGCTTCCATTGTAAGATTAGCAATGGTGTGTCATGCATGAGTTGCTCTTCGGATCATGGTCACTGAACTTTCGTAGCCTAGCCCCACGGCGCGGTCATCGTCGAATGCCAAGCATTGTTTGTCGTGGCACCTTGCAGCAACTCGGGCTTCCAAATTCCATCCGTTGGTATGTATGGCGTTCACAAGAAAAAAGGTGCTTCTCTCGTATGGCAAAGATGTTTTCGGACGCTGGAATGCTTTCCAACGCGTATATAATAACCAACACGTTTCTTGCACATCAATCTTAATACTCATCCCATCAGCTCCCTTGTTCGCATTTACTCATCCGCTTGTATACATACGCCTTCCTCGAACAAAATCTGCCACATACCAACGTAAATATTGTATCATACTATAAACATCACACACCCAAATTACGCTCAAAACAAACCACAACGAATATCCACAATGAAGGCAACCTTCTTCATGGCCATCCTGTTTGTGACCATTACATCCAGCGCCGCCATTCCTGCAGAAAAGGCCGGGGACCCAGCCGCCAAGGCGCCCGTCCCAGCCCCTTCGAAGACTAACCCGCCATCCCAAAAGGGCATCCCTCCACCGCAAAAGGGCTCGCCCCCAGCACAAAATGTTGTCACTCCTCCAGCACAAAATTCCACCCTCCCAGGCGGATCCATTTGGGGCTGTGATGACGCTAAGGTCAAAGGAGTCGTCTTCTCTTTCCGCGGATGCGAAGTTGAATATGAGGGTAAGCCCGCTCCTCCTTCATCCTTCATTTGACAGCTTTCATCCCCGGATCCCGAGCTTCTTACCTTAGGCAATCCACACGCATTGCCTTTTTCTTTCTTTCTTTCTTTCTTCCTTGTTGTCTAATCATTTCGAAAATCTTTATTTCGAGTAGTCACCGATGCCCCAAAGAAAGGCGATTGTCCTAGCAAGAAAGTCCGTCGATGCTGCAACATGAAAGCTGTAAGTAAACAACAAGATTTTGTGTGTGGGATTGGACAGTAGATTGCTCGTCGTCTGTTCTATGTAAGCGTCCATGTTTATCCGACTAATTCTGAGCTCTCTGTTTTTTTTTTGGTTGTTTTACACAGTCCATGGCAGTCTCGTACGGAGGAAACTGCATCCCGGCAGCCAAGCAAACTTGATCCTCTTTTTTTTTCCCTACCAGACGGGGACACCCACTGCAACATCAAGTCATTCCTAGATCCCCCCTTTGTTTTTATCAACTTATGCATTCCTCCTCTTCGCCGTTTGCATGGGCTTTTTCCTCATCCGCAAAAACCGGTCTGTTGAACTATCTATTGGAGTCGTCCTGAAGCTAGTTCTTCCAGCGTTTGATGAAATCTGTTGTACATATATTTGCTTGCTTGATTTTTCTTTTCTTTTTTCTTTTTTCTTTTTTTTTTTTTTTTGCAAAAGACTTTCTTTTCTCGCGATCCCTTTTTATTCGGAAGAGCCTGCAGTCTTGTTGTGTACCGTTGGCCCCAAGCGTGCACTCGATCAAGCACGCTTGACATTGGAATGTGCAAAGCGAAGTAGCAGCAGCAGCCACTTGCCACTACCCATCCAACCGAATTCCAACATAGGACATATCCAAAACAAAACAGAACCATGAGCGAAGGAAAGACGCTTTAAAATAATCTGCGAGTTGGTATAGCCTAATTTGGCAAAGAGTATCTATGATCGATGTTGCTGGGAAGGCCTGTGCCACACAGATAAGCTCTCCAAGGAGTTATATGCAAACCGTTCCCCGGCCAATTGGGTCGAGATGTCCCAGCTCCGGCCAGCTGGTAATGTCTGGATCAACGAGGCAAGGATGTCCTCACCTGCCACCACCGTAGAAGTTCCTTTCTCCAAATACCTGCCCTCCCACATAAGCTTCACTTTGTTTTTGTGGCCTTATTTCCCCACCCAATTTGGTTGTTCAAGGGTTTTCGTTTTTTTTTTGTTTCTATTGTTGGAATGGTATACTATTTGATACTTACTTATATACAGATATCAGCTACATACTTAAACTCTTCTTCTTTTGGAAGCAGGAGAAAAAGAAAAAAAGAAAAACAACAACAACAACTGCAACCAACAAAAAAAAATTGTAACGCAGAAAAAAAAAAGAGAGGAAACAAGTGGAAAGAAAATAGGAAAGACGAGTGATAAAGTAAACGAAAAAAAGAGGACAGACACACTACTGATATGGATATGTATTCATGAGTGAGTGTGTGTGTGTGTTTAACTAAGAGTGTGAATATATATATATGTCTTGGAAAAAGAAAAAAGAACAAGAATAAGAGATAATGATAATATAAACGAGGAAACCTTTTAAAGAAGATGTGAATATATATATATGTGTATGTGTAGTAAGTAAAAGAAATCTATGAACAAAAAGAAAACAAGTATATATCCACAAACCCACCCATTATGATCAACCCCCTACAACTTTTTTCAAGTTATATCCTGCTCGACCCTTCCCTACCTAAATAAAAAAGAAGAGGAAAAAGAAGAGGATTTTGAAAGCTGACCAAAAGAAAAGAAAAGAAAATGATGAGTGTTTAAGATGATGAGCGGGGAGATGAACCTGATGAAAACAATAGAGAGCTAAGGGGGGAAAAAAACTCTTAGTTGTATACATTTATGTGTATGTATATAACGAGTACAGCGTGCATGTATCGATACATGATGGATGATGAGAAGTGAGGGAAGAGTCGGTCACAGGAAGAGATGAAAATTAAAAAAAAAATGTATGTAAGTAAGGACGATGACGCTAGCTATCTCCGTTTTTTTTATTTATTTGATTTTTTGGGGTGGGGGTATAGTAGTAATCCTGAAGACGAAGAAGAAGGATTATTGGTTGATGAAAGACATGGTCAGTCGGAGCAGTGCGGGCAACATGATGGCCGACGATGTTGTCCGGGTCACGACAGGCTGGGCAGATGTTCCGTTGTTATTGTGACTGATCGGTGTAGTAGTTGTAGTTTCAGTGACTTGCAAGCCAGTTCCTTTACATCTCTAAAAAAAAACAATGACAACAAGATAAGTGTCTAAGCTTCATGGCAGGAGTTTGAGTGTTAATAGGCCCAATAGAGAAGAATAGCGTACGTTATTACTCGCCGTAGGCCAACAACTTAAATACCGACACCAATCACAAGAAGCAGCTGGATCTTCGGTAAAGAAGTTCCGGTAGAGCAAGACGAACATCAGGATAGCCCCGATCAAGCCGATCACTCGGACGGTATAGAACGTCCATCGATGGGTGATCGTCTGGTGCAAGACTGGGAACAGTAAGATTGCCAATAGGATCCCCATGCTGAACCCTCCGATGTGCGAGAAATTGTCGATCCCGGGGATCAATCCTAACAGTAATCCGGCCACAATTTCAAAGACTAGGAAAACCAACTGAGAAGATAATTTTTCTCCATGTGAGATCAAGATCTTCGCTCAAAGAGTTCAGATGAAAAAAGATGTGATGTTTACCTTGCGTGTGGGCCGATATTCGATAGACCAATGAGCGATCAAGTCGACCAGGACGGCGGCATAGGTAGAAAAGATAGCCCCAGAAGCGCCGACCGACGGTTGTCCGACGAGGGAGAAGTTGCCCCCAAGGATGAAGCCGAAGATGCCCGAGGGTAGATAGAGTAAGATGAACCGCAAGGAGCCCATCTGGCGCTCGATTAATGCCGACGAGGTCATTTGGACGGCTATGTTTAGCAGGTAGTGGATTAGACCCGCATGCAGGAATAGTGGTAGGACCTGATTTGTTCAAGTAAAGAAAGCACTGGGTGTCAGTTCTCTGAGTATTAATCAGCCTCCTAGAATGGAAAAAAGCACTCACAAATCTATATTTTTTGGGGCAGTTTTTTTTATCAAGAAAGATGTAAAACCAAGAATCTCAGAGAAGATGATGATAATGATGGGGAAAGATAGATGAAAGACTTGTGTACCTGAATTTTTGATCTGGTTGGCCGGGTTGACTGAACCCACCAAAGCCGCAGACAGATTCGAGGGATTGAGAACAAGTGGTATCGGTGGATGTAGAATTCAGACATGGAAACGGAATGTTTGATAGTGCTGGAACATTTTTAATACCTATAAAAATACGGTTTAATTTATTGTGTGTCAAGATAATTTTACAAAGGGAAGAGGATTTTCTTACATGGAGTGAATCTAGCTCCTGTGTTAATTAGCACTTCGGGCGATGGACCAATCATAAAGTTGAACGTGGGTTTAGTTGCGATAGGAGTTCCCTGATATTTAGCCTACAAAAGAAACAACAAGATGAGTATTGTCTCTTTTTTTTTTTTTTTTTTTTTTTTTTTTGAAAAAGATGAATATAAGGAGAGAGAACTCAACGTTGGTGACGAATTCCATGATGAGAGCGATAAACATTCCGATACTGAGCAGCCAACAGATATAGGCACGATCCTGAATGCCGACGCCATGTTGATGGTTGAGGATGCGTTGATCGAGGGGGGTGGTATCCCAGAAGATGCGTTTCCAGACCGGGGGCCGATAGATCTTGGGCTGATAGATGGTCCCGGTGAGTGATGGATGCTGATGATGCTGCTGCTGCTGATCGCTATTGTATTGGTCGTGTGTGGGTGGATATTTTGTGTCATGTAGGGTGTCGCTTTGTGAGTTCCGATATCGATCTTGTTGTTGTTCTTCTAGATGGTCGTCCAGTCGGGTTGAGGTTGAGGATGTGTTTGAGTTTGATTCGGATGATCGCTTGGCCAGTTGATGATGGTCTATGGCTTGGTAGGTGGTCATCCTGTGTGTATGTTGGTGAGTGTTCGGGATGGTTCAGAATGGGTTCAACCGAGACCGGTCAACAGCAAGGAAGCAGATGATAAGGATAGTGGGGTTTTGTTGTTGTTGTTGCTGTTGGTCAGCCAGTTTAAGTTAAAAATAATAAGCTTAAGATAACCCTAGCTCCAGGATATATACCAGGAGGAGGAGGGTGAGGAGGAAGGAGAAGTGTCTGAGCGAATCATGTTGTAACGGGGGAGAGCGCTCGAGGAAAACAGTTGACTCACCATCACGTCGACCTGGTAACTATATCTCCAAAGCAATCATTCTTGTCCATCTGCCTCTCATCAACCTCCACCACCAACAAACACAATTGTAGAGACAATATTCTTCACATGCGGTTGCTTCCTTCGAATGTCTACATACAGCCCAGATTCACTTACTACTCGATCCACGGATATATACCCCGGATGAAAGGCAGTATGTGCATACATCAAAGAGACATGTTCAGCATGTCCAAGCTTATCCATCTCCAACCTTATGATCTGTATCTAAACTTATCCATCTCCAAGCTTCAGGTGAAGAATGTCTCCAGCTCTGGGAAACAGATTGTGTTGCAAGCATGCATACATAGATGGTTTTGTAGAGACTATATTGTCTTTTCCATGAAGCTTGGACCATTCTCAAAATTTTGGATTGCAATCTACACATAACTTATAAGAGCATCTCCACTGCGGTAGGTAAATCTGGGTCACTAAATGTGACATTTTGGCAACTGAGATCTGGAATTACTGCAAAGTAGGATGGTTCACATCTGAGCTTTGAGGCAAATTTAATGGGCGTTGATAAACGCACGCCTCCCCCCTCCCCGCACGCCCACGCCCACGCCCCTCCAAAAGGGGCGTGCAATCGAACCCGCCCCTCAGGGAGGGCGGGTTTGCTTGCACGCCCCTCGGAATCCTGTTTTTCGAGGGAAAACCGGATTCCGAGGGGCGGGGGCGTGGGCGTGCGGGGAAGGGGGAGGCGTGCGTTTATCAACGCCCAAATTTAATGACATTTATCATCAAAATTTTACAAATTTGTCAAAAATCTCAAATTCATCCAAACCTGATGATTCATGAGAGTTGACAAAATTCATAAAGTTTTATCTACAAATGTGCTAAAAGTTGCCTTGAACTTTGTTGAGGTGTTGTATGATAGTATGCTACCATGATCTGTCTCTAAAAACTTCAGACATGAACCGGCATAGTGGGAATGAGAAACTAAATCCTCATGAAATGTATCCTCTGGTGATATATGCACCAAACCCAAGAATTTGGGAAAGGGAGAATCTGTGATTTGTGTCTTGGGTAGGAGGGTGTTGTGTAAGGGCCTTGGCTTTATCAACCATGAAGTGTATCTATGAACTCCAGAGAGCCCTTCTGTGGTCAAGAGACTCTCATAAGTAGTCATAGATGTTTTTAGCAGCATCCAGGGCAGTTTATAGTAGAGTAAATCACCCAAAAGAATTTCCTGTTTGCCTCAGTTATAGGAAAGGGCCCTGAAAATCAGACTATAACCACACACTTCATAGTAAAGTTGGCAATACATATACTATAACAATACTATACCAATAACCATAAAGTATAGACCCAGTGTTGACAGATTGGAGGGGGATTTTACACTTTCTGATTGCCAGTTTAAAGGAGCCGCTAGCCAATCCTTTCACCTTTTACTCAGAGCAATTATACCACTACTTTCTGATTGATTGTACTCATACTACTATGCGCTAACCATTTTAGCACTTGTTGGCCTGAACACTTTCTGTGTGATAGCTTTCACTACCTAGCTGGAAGGCTACAGTAAGCTTTGCATCTAACTAGATTATTGAGGCTTTGCCCTCCCTCAATCTTTCAATCTCTCTACGCCTCATCCACAACTCTTTCACAATTCTATCTCAAAGTTCACCTAACGGCCACTACCCCAATTGTTAACTTGAAGTTTTGACTATTCCCAACTCAGAGCCGCCTCAAGATTGGTTTACCTTGCTTGAAAAGCTGCAGGAAGAAGCCGTAAGACTCATCAAGATCTCTCTGAGCCGTGCAGTTAAACCTTTACACTGATTACCTCTAACTTCTCATCATCTCCTCTTCCTTATTGAGTCCAGGATATAGATACTATGCACAACACCTGTAAGTATCCCAATCCTGAAAGCTGGGGGTCTCGCCGGGAAACAATTGACTGACCTTAACTACTTCTCACTTATTCTTTATCCCTTGGTCTATGAGTGATAGCTCAAAGACACATTCCCTTACTTATGACATAGTCTCTACCTCAACCAAGAAAGAAGAAGAGGTCACCTACTTGTATTACTGTAAAGTAAAAGAGATAAGAACTTACCAGATCATCACTCAGAAGATTTATCTCCAATCCAACAACCAGCTCCTAGGTCAGAATCAACACAAAATAATAAGTCTGATCCTTGTCAAGAAAACTGTTGAAATTTTACCTATTGTTTCTCTCTCTGCCCTTATACTTTTTCTAGTCATCATAAATCAGACTAGACCATACTCATCAATTAGCTTGTTTTTAGTTATTCTCAGCCCCCTTCTGAGTCAAATATGAACCTTAAGTAATCAGCTTTTTTTTTAACTACTCATGTTTCTAAGATGAATTATTCTTTTTCCTGATTTCATGTTGATTTATCAAAGAGTGATTACTTAGAATTAACAACTCTAATTATTTGTGGTTTATAACATGTTTTCTTTGATTACCTCATCCAGCTTGTCTAAAAGAGACTGAGAAGACTTGTCTGGTTTGTTTCTGCCAAATACTCATGTTTCTTCCTCTCAGTATTCTATTCAATATGGCTCTATTATTCATTGTTTCCCAACCACAAATTGAACCCTTGCATTTAGTCTACTTAAATCCAGGCTAGTTTAGTTACTTGCGAATAAAAAATCATTGGCTCTTTCATTCTTTTTCTGTGAGCTTTTCCCCAACAAAAAAAAGAATTCTTCCTTTTTTGGCCCTTGACCTCTCACACACCACCAGTCCAAAAATCCAACAAAACCCAACCTGAACCTTGACGCCGGTTCCCCGTCTCCTCTAAACTCTTCTATCCAAGAGACTCTAGAAGAGACTGCGACCATAACTTATCCTCAAATTTGCTTAGACCAATCTTCCTCAGACAAATTCAATCCTCTGTGCTAATCTTTGCTGTCCATCTGATTTTCCTAATTATCAAAGTATCTTCCCTAAAAATACAACCACTAAAGACATTTCTTCATTGATCTGATCCTATGTAGGCTCTTCCTAAAAATAATAAAAAAAAAAACATATTTTGTCTTCTAATTTCCTTATAATCCATCTTCTAGAAAATAATAAAGCCAAAAACTAGCAGATCTATAATTTCATCTTCTAACTTCTTTTAGAAAAAATCATCCAATCACAAAGAAAAAAATAAGCCAATACATCTGCGTAGAATTGGGAGCCCCTATCTACGTAGCTGATAACCAAACCTGTGTCAGCTACTACAACGACTCATCCCACTTCCCCCCCCCCCCTTGGAACCAAACCTGCCCACAATAGCACTACCAGAGTAAGGGCTATCCGAGGACCACAAGTTTCACCCAATGTTAGTGCGGTTTGGGCCTATCCTGGGAAGGGGGGGGGGACATATATATAACCCTCACATCCAATTTGATTGTGGGTTTGAACCCAAACACATGTGTGTGTGTGTAGAGCCTTGTAGGGCTCACACTATAAGTATAAGCCTCTGCCCCAGTGGTTCCTGTTTTTTTTTTTTTTTGGGGGGGGGGCATGGATGTATTTTCAGACCCATCTCAATCCATAACTACGGGGACTATGTAAGCATGTTATAGCAAAGAATACCTTGTGCAGACAGCTCTCTCATACCTGATGGATCTACCCTACATTGGACCTCTCTACAATCTGTCGCAGGGGTTTTTTCTTTTTTTGGAAGGAAGACTAAAAAAAAAGGAAAAAAAAGCCTATAAAAGTCTGGGATTTCTTGTTTTTTTTTGGGGGGGGGGGACGGGCTTGCTAAAGTTTTGTCATCCTCCATCGGATTCTGCTCTGCGTGACAGTCCTCCTCACGCTGGTGCTTTCAACCACTGGCCGACAGATCCCTACACCACAGGCTCTGGTGGACGAGTGCTTGACAGAAGTGGTTCCGTCAGCTTGACCCATGCCGCCCGGACCAATAATTTGGGGTGCTTCATAGCGGGGGGCGTAATCCCCCGCAGTCGGCTTGACCATTCAACGTTGGCTTGCCAGCGGTTGCAAGGCAAGCTTGCGGCGGCTTGACAGGATTATGTCATCTTGACAGCTGCTGCGCAGCAGCTGACTGCAGTAAAAAAAACTTATGTATCTTGGGGCTTGAACTCCCTACCTGTACTCACACCATCTTCAGCTTAATGCATGATGATGGGACAGGAGGGCCTATCCAACTATGGCAATCATGATGTCATAGTAGCCTGGCTTGGTTTTGCATATAGATAGATATAAACTTTCAAATTACCTATAAGATTTTTTTGTCTTGAAGTTTTTTTGTCCAAGTTTTTTTTTTCTTGAAGTTTTTTTTTTTCTCCATTTTTTTTTCTTGAGGCGGCCACAACTTTTTGGACATGAAAAGGATGTAGAAAAAATGTTGAAAAAAAAAAGTTTTTTTTTGTTCATTTTCAGACATGGGGTCAAGCCAACGGTGGGACTTTTTGACCCTGAGGTCAAGCCAACGTTGGAATTGCAGCATTCCTCCCAAAGCTTGATGTCGGCCTGACTAATCCGGCGGGATTGTGTAAAAGAGGTTCAGGCTGACCGGTGCTTGACCGCGGGGTCAAGCCGACGAAGTGCCATTTCCAAAACTCAACCCGTGGTGTAACCAAGCTGTCAGAAAATCACAGTACAATCAAGTCCTCTTATCTTCATCAATCATGTCTCATCATCATCATTATCATCATTGTTGTTGTTGACACACAAAAGGGAAAAAGACAATGGAACAGGTATAAGGCAAGAGTAGAGATCGTTCCGCGGTACCCTTTGCTAGGTACCTAATACCGCTTGGGGGGTACCCTTCACACCCGCCCCGCACCTGTCGGGAGGTGCCAGGTGCGGTACTTGGTACCTATTTTTGTGAAAAATTGAACAGGTACCTAGGTACCACTACAGGTACCCCCTCACTTCCCTACCAAAATGACGGTGGCCTTCTACTCCAAGAACTCCAAGAAGGTACCTTGGCTACATGGAAACAGGGACTCAAGGATAACAAGAAGTCTAACCAAAAATCAAAAAGGAAGGTGATAGTTTTGGAAAACAATGAAGATTCTTCTAATAATCTAATTAGATATAATTTGTAGACAGTTTAAGCTTTA